TCCTCCCCCTTCCGCCTCTCCCCCTCACCCCTGCTCCCTTCCCGCTCCCCGCTCACGAACAGGTGCCATCGCAACAGTTTGACGCATCGTCGTTTGCCAGCACCTTCGCGCGTGAAAAAATCAGCATTCCTCCCCCACTCCTGCGCACAAGCGTGCAAGCGCATCGGGCGAACGCGGTGTCAGCAGGCACCAAGGATATCAGAACAATGAGCTGATCGCCCGTCCAGGCCTCGAGGTCCCCCCTGCTGAAGCAAGCGATGCATTATTATTGCTTTGCAGGGGAAGCGCCCAGAACACGGCGCATTGGCGCGAAACGCCAATTCTGTTTTGTGTATATATATACACATACATACATACATACATACATACATACATACATACATACATACATACATACATACATACATACATACATGCATATATACATATATCTATATATATGCATGGATCTGTTTCGATCCATGCCTATCAATGTATGGAAAAACAAGAATACAGAGAAAGAGAGAGAGCGATAAAAAATACAGAAAGAGAGAAAAAGAGAGAGAGAGAGAGAGAACACAAAAAAAGGAAACGGAGACAGAGAGAGAGAGAAAGTGAGAGAGTAAGAGTGAGAGAGAGGGAAAGAGAAAGGGAAAGAGAAAGAGAAAGACAGGGAGCAAGAAAAAGAAGGGTGGGAAAGCAGAGAGGGAGACAGAGGGAGGGGCAACCGCACGCGATTCAGGTGGTGCAGATCGCCGGCAAGCGGCCAAAAGCAGTGCTGTGCGGTTTCTGCCGTCGTTCAACGCCCGCCCCATAAAGGGAGGGACACCACGAGGAAGGGAGGGGGGGTCTCCTGCTTCTCCTCCTTCTCCTCCTCCTCCTGCTCCTCCGCGACCTCCTCCTCCTCAACCTCTTCTTCCCCCTCCTCGCCCTCCTCCTCCTCAACCTCCTCCTCCCCCTCCTCGCCCTCCTCCTTCTCCTCATGATCCTCATCCTCGTCCTCCTCCTCCTCCGCCTCTCCTCCTCCTCCTCCTCCTCCTCCTCCTCCCCCTCCTTCTCCTCATTATCCGCCTCCTCGCCCTCCTCCTCCTCCTCCTCCTCCTCCTCCTCCTCCCCTTCCTCCTCCTCCTCCTCCTCCTCCTCCTCCTCCTCCTCCTCCTCCTCCTCCTCCTCCTCCTCGACCTCCTCCTCCTCCTCGGCCGAAGAAGGGAGCCCAGAAGGGGAGAGGGCAGAGTGAAGGGAGGAGGAATGAGCAGGCATGGCAGGAGGACTGGCTGCAGGGAACTGGAGGGCAAGGGGAAGGGGCGAGGAGAGGGAGAAGGAGGAGGAGGAGGAGGAGGAGGAGGAGGAGGACTAGGAGAAGGAGGAGGAGATACCTCGGTGTAGGATGAGGGCTGCGGATTGCACAGCCTTCGAGGGTAGCTGGTCCCTATATGAGCAATGCTCAGGCAAAACCTCTGTGGACGGAAGCATCCACCAAGTGGTAAGACTAAACCGCTCCAATCGAAATACGCAGGACCGCCAGCATTGCCGCTGGGCTGCGTCCTGAATTTCCGCACATCGAACGGGGGCGTGTCAGTTAGGTCGACGGCATGTTTGCCCCAACGTGCGTGAGATCTCCGCCCTCAGGGAGAGGTAGATAAGGGCTTCTTCCAAAGTGGTTCGATACAATCGGAACAATCCGGGTAGGGCGCGAGATAGCAGTGGTAGCGCCGAAGGGACGCAAGAGGGAGGGGGGCGGATGGAAAGTATGACACAGATGTGGAGGGAGGGTGCAGGAACTCTGGGCCCGTGTCACATGCTACTGACTGTGTTGACTTACGTCGGGCGTGTCCCCCTACAGGGGGATTTCCGACTACAGATTCCCTTTACAAAAAAAAAAAAAAAAAAAAAAAAAAAAAAACTCCAAAGTGGCAACATAAAATATTGAAACAATAATGCCCAGATCATTTTTTACTATTTTTGAAATTCCCCCCTGTAGAAGGGACACGCCAGACTTTAGATTTGATCTGGGGGGCTGAGGCGCCAAGACAAAATCAATCCCGAATCCGGGGTATGGCCACGAGGATGAGGAGGGAGTGAGCGGGAGGGAGACCGAGGAGGCGGGCAAGAGATAGCTGGAGGGCAGGGGGCGAGGAGGCATGGGAGGAGGTGCGAAGGTGCGGAGCGGAGGAACGTGAGTATTGCATGACATTCAATGAAGAGGTGCAAGATTGCATGTCGGAGGTGGGAAGATGCGAGTATGCAGTCGGGAATCGATATGCGCAGTGCCGAGGACGTGAGGTGACGCAGGGCCCGAGGCGTGCAAACGAAGTGACGTGAAAAGGCGCAAAGACGAGATGGTGTGGAGCCGAAGAGTGCATGGTCCTTCGTACCATCGGGCTGCTGAAATACGGAACGGTTCAACAAAAATGTGTTCCGAGTCGAGCAGTGAAATCCGAAGGAGCGGCTGAAAAATCTGACGGAACAACGCAGGGGCCCGCCACCAAACGAGCAACGGAACGCATGCAAATCTTCGGAA